AATAGCCCAACATACACATCAACAAGAGTCACATCACAGCATGTGCAATGTCCAGTCATACTTATAGTTGATACAATAGTTTGTCATAACAAATTTTATCCATAATATAGTGAAAGTTTATCACTTGCGTGTTTTAAGACCTGTGAGTGTTATTAAGCGCTTCAAGTAGAGCTGCACGATTCTGGCTAAAATGAGAATCGCGATTTTTTTGCCTAAAATAAAGATCACGATTTTCTCACGATTCTGTACATGTAAAATAAAGGTATGGTTAAAAACAAACATATGGCACAACATCGATCATAATATTATGTGTAGGTCTACTGGTTTTTATAAATAATTCTATTCTACTTATAATAATTCTGATGTTGAATTATTATGTTTGAGATATATGCTTGCAATCTGTCATGTTAGACAATTTTATTCACTGGTAAAATCAGACATTTGCCATTATCAGATTATATTCAACAATATAGGCTAGAGTAGTTATACTGACATTGTAAACATTTATTTTCATGCACAACTGTGAGTTCGCTATGAAAGAAAAAAACATCAAACGCTTGCCGTAATCATAACTCTTAAATGTGTTATGATCATTTAAATGAAGTGCACACTTTCGGTTTCATTCTGACTGCTAAGTGCTTGTTCATACTTCGCGCGCGGCTCCCAAACAATCACTCTGTGCCACAAACTGAATATTGTTTACAACTGTATTACCTGTTACTTACAACATATGCAGGTTCTGTTCACTAAAGACGAGTGCGCGTCTATCATTAAGTCGACACGCAAGTAGTGTGATTTCCCGGCCGCATAAACATCATTATATGAATACAAAAATGAGATTTTAGATGAATTATACCTAATGAATACATTATGTGACTCATTGAAGATCATTTGGAGGTGTCAATATCACTGAGCAACGTATGTGAAACAATGAAAAGACTCGTGCAGCCGCCTTTTCTTCTCAGCTGAACTTGGAAATATGATTGGCAGAGTCGTAGAAATGCTGGATTAAGATCATCTAGACTGGGTCGAATCGAGATCGTGATCTTTTAATGATTAATTGTGCAGCTCTAACTTCAAGACAGCTAAAAAGCACTAGAAAAATACAACGTTTGTAGCTTTAGATCAGGGGCTCCCAAACTTCAGCCTGCAACCCCCCAAAAAAACAATGCCAGCGACTCGCCCCCTCCCCCCCCACAAATTCCTTGGAGGTGGTTATAAATATACAAATGCTGCATACACAACAATAGGCCTATATAAACACATGCATATTGACAACACAAATGTGTGCAACAGTCTAACAGCCATATCATTTCTATAGTCATTTATTCATTTGTTTGGTTTAATATTAACCTCAGCTTAAGTGACTAGTGGGCAAAATGTTTACAGCACAAGACTGACGACTTTTTGATTTAATTTTGTAGACCACCACTCAGAGATCATTCTCATTTTTCAGTTGTGGCCTGTATTTATTTTTAATGATCGCCATAAAGGTATCAGAAAGCTTAACCTGGTGCTATGTTGTTTCCCAACTATTATTCCCCTCTGATTTTGGGAATCATAGAGTTATGGTAGGGTTTAGGGGTAGGGAATAGATATGGTTCACATTTTTGAATAAAAATGATGATCCAGGATCAACATAGATGTTAATCCAGGATCGTATTGTACTTGGCAAAATCATGATGATAAAAATATTAAACCTGTTTACAGTTATTCTCAATCGCTTTGGTGCATTTCTCACAACACTATTTACATTTGCACAACAGGTCATGCATTTCTCAAAACAATTAGTCATTTGTGCACATCCTAGTAGCAGTTTCTCATTCCTTTCAGCAAATTGCAAATGCTTTCGGACATGCATCAATTGCTCTCATACAACTCTCTGCTGTTTATAACATTATCATTTGCTTATGTCATGTCAGTCAAAATTAACTAAACTTGTAAATGCTGAATAGTCATTGCAAATAAAACAAATAGTCTTCATTTCATTACTTTAGTCATTACATACAAAAATGTTGAACTAGTTGTCAAAATGTCAGAATGATTTAGTTTCATGAATGATTTACCGACCTGTGTATGTATGTTGGTTCAGTTCCAATATGTTCTGCAATATTGTGTACAGTTGTGCACAGCTCTACCCAAAGAAAGTTTATGTTTGTTGTAAATAAGGGTGTGTTTATTCTTCTGCACAATGCTGTAAAAAAATTCTAATTGTAAAGAGCAAATGCAGAAAAAATGTGAAACATACATATTCGGTGTCTTGTACTAGATACACTCACTAAATGCAGTGATGTCTAACTGTACTGTAGTTTTCAATTGGCTGTGCTAATAGTATATAGTACTATCTTGAGCATTTTCACGAAGTTTTACCAAAATCTGACTTTTTTTGCATTGAAAAAATTTACAAAGTGAACTGACATAATGAAAACATGAGTCATGATAGACAAAAGTCATTTGACTATCTTGTTCATAAACAATGGTGTCAGGACTTTTCATTTTGATGATACTGACTCTTTGATTGACATGAATACTTGCTTTTGAAGAATGAACTATCCATTTTGAGCATGTGACGCGCTTTTGCAGGTTATCAGCTAGGTTTTGCAGTTTGTACTAATTGTTTTGAGAAATGCATTAACTGTTGTGAGAAACGCACCAAAGAGACTGAGAAAAACTGTAAATGGCTACCGAAGTAAAACTACATGTCCTACCACAGAAAAACAAAAACATTGAGGAAATAAGACTTTAAAAATGTGCATTGTGCTTAAACAATTGATAAACAATGACTAAAAATTATACTTTGAATGTTTTCTTTCTATTAGACTGAAAAAAAGCTCTTGATTTATGAAAACCCAAAAACAAGCTCAAAAATGAATGGAGTATAATTAAACTGGTTTTGCCTGTAGTGTCTCACCTTATAAAATAAACAAATATACAAAAATAACAAATAAATCAAACCACTGACCTTACCTAATAATCAGATTATCAATTGAATTATCACCCTAGCAAACACAGCAACCACACAACAACACACTGGCCACCACTCACTACCAACAAACAACACTCACATTTCCTCAGAAGATGTAAGACAACAACACACTGGCAACCACTCATAACCAACAAACAACACTCACATTTCCTCAGAAGATGTAAGACAACAACACACTGGCAACCACTCATAACCAACAAACAACACTCACATTTCCTCAGAAGATGTAAGACAACAACACACTGGCAACCACTCATAACCAACAAACAACACTCACATTTCCTCAGAAGATGTAAGACAACAACACACTGGCAACCACTCATAACCAACAAACAACACTCACATTTCCTCAGAAGATGTAAGACAACAACACACTGGCAACCACTCACTACCAACAAACACCACTTGCATTTCCACAGAAGATGTAGCTTCCTCTGCTTCAGGCTTTCTGTTATAAAGGCTGTGTTTTGAGTTTGGACCCTCATTCTTTCACAGCCTCCTGTCATCAATCTCTGGACTCTGAACATCCACTCACTTCTACACCTACCTCACTTCTCTTTCTTAAGATGAGCATCAATGGGATTGTGTGGGAAGAAATGTGTCTTGGAGAATGGGAGCCTGGAGGAAAGATATAAGAAGATTTAAGGAGAAAGAAAGAGAGAAGCAGAAGGGATGAGGAACGAAAGTAATCATCAGAGGAGATGTTAGCGGAGTACTGCATGTTCAGTCATATTTATGGACTCCAAAACCTAGTGAACTGTGTGTCTCGATTTTTAAAGGCAAAAGATTTGGCTTTCAATAATTCTTTTTATTTTTTTGGACTGTAATAAGGCAGGATTGCATGTACAAAATGCACTGCAAACAATGGAATAAAATTATTAAAAAATAATTTCAAATGGTAATTTTTAATTATTAAAAGGTCACCTATGATGAAAATCATCTTTTGTAAGCTGTTTGGACAGCACGGTGTGTAGTATAGTGTGTCCACTAGGCATGGGATGATGATGGTTTTTAAGGTATACCGTGGTTTGGAAAAGTCAAGGTTTTAAGAGCGCCCACATTTTCTGTAATACCAGTTCCTAAGGTATATGTGTAAGGTTTTTATTTATTTATTATTTTTTTTAATTAATTAATTTTTGTTTTTTAGGACAACCGTATCTCCTGCAGAAAAGATATCCAAAGATGCCATTTTAAAATGAAGACAGCAGAATTCAATGATTAATTTTCATTATTTAGCCTGACATGTTTAGTGCTCCAAAATATGTAAAATCTTTCACAAAATAAAACACCATAAAGACTAATAGTTTTGTTTAATTTCTGAAGATTTGTAAGTTTTTTTTCTCTCTCTCTCTCTACATCCATTGCTGTGTCTTTTTGTAGGTCGTATAGGTTTTGTATATCGCCATTTTCTCTTGTTTCATGCTGTATTTTACATTTTGCACAGATTATTGTTTCATGATGGGTTTGTCTGTCTGTTCTTTGTTTTTCTGTCTGCAAAAATTAAAATAACTAAATATTTTTAAACAAATATCTTATTAAAAAATACAATATATTGTTTTCAAAGAGAAAATTTGTGTTGTTTTTTTAATCCAGACCTTTCAAATAACTTATTTTAGAGCAGTAATCCTAATACCGTGAAACCGTGATATTTATATCCAAGGTTATACCATCAAAATCTTACACCGGCCCATGCCAAGTGTTCACACTCGTATTGGGCTGATAGAAACACAATAAGCCTCTTTATTATTTCCTGATGCTAAAATAGGATCCAAATCTCTCCCATTTTGAGGCCCACAGCAACGTGACGTAGGAGTGTGATCTGTAGATGTTCTGAATAGTTTTAATTGTCACTGTTTTGTGTGTGTATTTTGATGAACTATATACTGCTTAATCTTGGCCAGGACGCTCTTGTGAAGGATTTTTTTTAATTCTTAATGTGCTTTTTCCTACTAAAATAAAGGCTATAATAATAATAATAATTAATCAAATTTGTGTGAAATTCTCTTTCTGTCAGATCTGTGATAAGGAGTGGCATTATTACGTCCTGAGCGTTGACTTTCCAGTGGTGACTCTGTATGTGGATGGCGTGACGTACGAGCCGTATCTGGTAACAGACGACTGGCCCATTCACTCCTCTCAGATCGACGTGCAGCTCACAGTTGGAGCCTGCTGGCAAGGTGGGTGTGACTAATGTGTGCTGTGGGTGTGGCCAATGTGCATGTGGCCTTAGAATCAACATAAAAAAGAAGTTGCAATCTCAGTAGGGCACAGGTTGCCGCAGCTCTGCAGTTTAGTTCCAACCCTAATTAAACACACCTGATCAAACTAATAGAGTCCTTTGGGCTTGCTTGAAACCTACATGTAAGTGCGTTAAAGCATAGAACTAAACTGTGCAAGGCAGCGGCCCTCCAGAAACTGAGTTTAACACCCCTGCAATAGGCGTACATGAAAAACTTTTAATTTTCAGTAACCCAGTAAAAGTCCTTCCAGTGTACTGTATACGTTTTAAAATTGCCACATTTAAGGTCTGTCTGTTAAACTCAATGATCTTTACTGCCTGATTTATATACATGATATAAAGTGGGTCTCAGAATCTACAAGAAGTGCTGCATTAAATTAAATTTTTCCATGCCATGTCTTTAAAATATGAAAAGGTATTTTACCCCAGTATTTTACCCTGCCAATTCTGACGGTGCGTGTGCGTGTAAATGGCTTTTAATCTTATTTTATACTTGAACGACTAAATGAATGCTGAAGTCTATTTAACTGATTACATTTAACTACATTACCACATCGATGACACTTGGCGATCAGTAGGAGATTAGGGAACCGTATAAAATTGAAAATGGCACATTAACGATTCACGAGCAGTGTATCTGGAAAAACACTAACTGTGCATATAACCTTATTGGTCACCATCTCCTACTGACCGCTAAGTGTCTTTTTCTTTTAACCTAAAAGATGGATATTTGTTGTGAAATAAGATATAGCTTTACTAACCAACGAGAAGACATGCCTGGGCAGTGTTTGTACTAATTCCTTCATAGAAAGAACAGCAAGAAAGGAGAAATTTAGGGATTCGTGCTGAATGGTAGCTTCATTCACCCATAACACATCTACAATATCTACAGGTCACGTAAATGAAAACTATCAGTTGTGTTTTCTTCCCTTTTGTGATGTATATGCAAGTGAATCTGCTTCTTAAATGAAAAAAGATAAAAAGCAGGGCATTACTTTTTTTTGCATGTCACTGCAAAAAAGTGATTTTTTTTTTCAAGCGAGTCAACCATTGCTTTTAAAGGGATTATTTGAGGCAACAGGTTAACACTTAATAAAGTAAAGGAACAATATGTATACTACAAAATATTTATTTAAACTTAATTCCAAGTTACATTAGGTTTACACAGTTTTCAGTCACTTTTAAGGCAACAGGTTTACTCACTTGAAGCAATTAGCCTTTTACACTAAATGGGGAATTGATTGAGTGGTTGGACTTTTGTGGCTTGTTATCCGCTTGTTAAGTGTGACGTCACGCCAATCGGCTTCCGGGTCCAAGCTCTCTATTCAAATGTATGGGGAGACGTGAAGTGGCAAGTATAAATGTTTACAAAGCGATTTAATACTTTCGAAAATTACGATCGCAATATACATGTCCATGCCTAATATCTGATGCCCAGAAAGTCATTCATTTTTTTTTTAATTGTTAAAATTTTGGTATATGTGATGCAGCAAGCCCAGAGATTGTTGTGTACACTATGACTTTATGTAAAGTTAACTTTAATGCGTGATATGAATTAAAACTGATCATAAACAAATAACATCTCAACTCAAATGAGTGGCGGCTTGGACCCGGAAACAGTATTACATACGTCACCAACATGTCACCACCTAACAAGCGGATTGGTGGATCTCATGTGAGTGGTAGGTTGATCCAGCCCATGTGACAGTAAACACCAATCAGAAAAGAGTTTTAAGTGAGAGGAGAAGTTATTTTTAAGATTATGAGGAGGTTAAATGTTCTTTTTCGTAAAAATTTTAAAGTTTCTAGAAAATTTGGCCTACATTTTAAAATTGAAAACGATTACATTACCTTATGTTTGCTGTTTGTTCAACCTACTTATTTAAAATGAGCTGAACTAACACAATTATTGTTTTTGTTTTTTTTGGGTGGGGACAACTCCATTGTTTTATGTTTAATCCAATTAAATTTGTATAAACTAATGTGTTAACTTAATTCCTTCATGTTGTCCCAATACAAATTGATTGTGTGGAACTCAGCATGTTTTGCAGTAATCTATGAAGGATATTTGCCATCAAACCTGCAGAAATTCTATATCAATGAACAGACAGTTATGAAAAATGTTGAAATATGCAAAACTTCCAGCTAATCACAGCAGTGGGCATATATCTCTTATAATAGATGAATATTTAAAAATAAATATGTAAAAATTCAGATGAGAAGGTCAAAACAGGACAGAAATAGACTAATCTGAATATGTATAAGTAGTCCAATTTTGATAAGTGAAACTCAGAGGATAGCACTAAATAAACAGAAAAGCCAGTTCATGACCCCTTATAAAAAACTTTGTGGCAGGAGAAATCATTTATAATAAAAAATGCAATATTTCATTAATAATTAAGCGCTGTAGTGGCTGTTTTTCACACGGTTATTCTTTGTTTCGGTGTTGCAGTTTCTATGACTTCTAAATTTCTTTGGTCAGAAATCAGAGCACAGTTATAACGAGCTGACCTGTGGACCTGCCTATGCTCTCCTTCTGTGTCCATGTGCTTCTTTATATCATAATGATAGAAATACAAGAGTAAGATGACTAAAAAGAGCATTTTAGTGCATTGTGGGTGAAAAATAAAAGAAATTGTGTTTCTGAGAGCTGACTGGACATTTGCTTTTTTGGTGCTTGAGGGGTATAAATGTTTCTCATGATTCGGTTCAAATCAATCTAAGCTCATTTTTATGCATTGATTATAATTGACATTATAAGATTTAGGTTTTAATGCTGCAATTAGCTAACTGGATTTTTTAGAAAACGCTAGACTTCTTATGTTGCGTGGATTATATTTGTGGAAAAATCCAACAATACATTTAATTTTATGCCAAAAAAACATGATTAGAATATTAAGTAAAGATTAAGTAAACAAATTGTCAATTTCCATAACAGAACATCATTTTTGATTAGTAATACTATTGATAAAAACGTGTCGCAGTAGGTAGTGCTGTCGCCTCACAGCAAGAAGGTTGCTGGTTCGAGCCTCGGCTAGGTCAGTTGGCGCACAGTTCCCCCACAGTCCAAAGACATGCGGTACAGGTGAATTGGGTAAACTCATTGTCCGTAGTGTATGAGTGTGAATGAGTGTGTATGGATGTTTCCTAGAGATGGGTTGCTGCTGGAAGGGCATCCGCTGCGTAAAACATATGCTGGATGAGTTGCCATTTCATTCCGCTGTGGCGACCCCAAATTAATAAAGGGACTAAGCTGAAAAGAAAATTAATTAATAAATTTTCTCAATATTTGTTTTTTTTACAGATTGCAGATTTTCAAAAAGTTTTGTCTCTGCTAAATTATATCCTACATCCTAACAAACTAAACATCAATGGAAAGCTTAATCATTTCCAAAAATGCACACTTATGACTGCTTTTGAGGTTCAGAGTATCATATAAATAGTAATCTATAATAAAATAAAAATATAATAAAAATAAATAAATAATTTTAATAAAAACTAAAAATAAAAACTCTAATAGGGCTGCACGATATTAGAAAAATCTGTCATTGCGATATTTTGTTTTCCTGCTTATTTATATATATATATATATATATATATATATATATATATATATATATATATATATATATATATATATATATATATATATATATATATATATATATACCGATATGATTATAATTTCACCAAATGAATTGAACAGCTCAATTTGAAAAGATTTCATTCATTTACATAGATTGGGATGGTCAAGTTTTTTCTTTGCAGAGCATTTACATAAATTATAATAAAAACAGCACATATAAATACAACAGAGCAAAGAGAAAAGTTATTAGTGCTTTTCTGAAGAGTATTTATGTACAGAAATTGAACAATCAAACATAAAATAATATGGTAGTCATTGCATAAATGTTTTAATAATAATAAATAATATTTATTAAATAATAAATAATAATAAAATTGTATATCTTTTCACCTTTAATAAATAATCTGATCTGTAATGTGACTATTGTGGATAAACACATGCAATGCTCAAACAATATATTGTGCAGCTCTAAAATCTAATACAAATTATTAATAAATGCTACAATAGTACATCAAATATACCACCTACATTGTATATAACAGACTCATTTTTAAATGTCTGCACACAGCCTTTAACACAAACAACACTATGTACAGTGCTGGGGGGAAAGTGAGTGCATTCAACCTAAACTTTGACATTAACAAATAGGTCAGTTCTTGTTTGTTTGGTCCTATATCGCTATTCTCCAGAAACATGAACACTATGGCTCTATCAACACATTGATCTGTTTGTCTGGGAATCCTGACGGGGTTGAAGTGCCTCAACCAATATTACAGTCACAGATTTGTCCCCAAACTATAGCAATATAAACTCACATGAACAAACAGTCCTGATACACAATAGTATGTCATCCCCAAAAGCTCAAAATCTCATCTTGAGGTCACGAAAACACTCAGAGAGGCTTCAATACACACAAACACATCTCATATCTAGCAGACAAATGCAAGTAATCACTCATGATTAAGTTACATCATTGCAGCAATTTAAAGTGACCCTTTATGCCATTTCAAATTTCCTAATTTGTTTTGAAAGACACCTATGTCTTTAAATCCATTAAGGACAAAAACAATACAGTTTTCTCAGAATATTAATTACAGAATCAGCTCTTTCTTTAATGTCTCAAACTGTTGGTTCAAGGATCTGGTCCCTCTAAACCCCTGCCTTTCTAAGAGTCTACTCTGCTCTGATTGGTCAGATCTGGGCCTAATCTATTGTGATTTCATTGCTTTTTGTGCACAAGCATTGATTAACATTATAAGATCAGTAGGATTTGACAGCTCTGGCTCACAGCAGGTGTGTGTTTGTGTTGTGTACAGGTGGAGAGGTCTCTAAAGCAAAGTTTTCACAGTATTTTCGAGGCAGTTTGTCTGGACTGACGATACGACCGGGAAAAATCGAAAGCCAGAAGATCATCTCCTGCCTACAGGCCTGCAAAGAAGGACTAGACATCACATCTCTGGAAAACCTCGGACAGAGAATCAAGGTTTCACAAACACGCATACACAAAAACTTGTATATATGGTTTACGGGGACTCTTCATAGTCGTAATGTATTTTATACTATTAAACCTGCTTATTATATGGCCTTACCATAAGTATAGCCCTAAACCCAACCCTCACAGAAAACATGAGACCAATTTTGAATGTCAAAAAACCCTGTTAAGTATGCAAAACCAACTATTGCTATTGGAAGCTGTTTGGGCAGATTGTGTGGATGTGTTCTGGTTGTAAGTATAGTGTGTTCACAGTCATATTAGAGTCATATAAACACAACAAGCCTCTTTTTTTATTTCTTGACATTAAAATAGGGTCCAAATCCCAGAGATTTTGGGACCCACCGCAACATGACGTGAAATGGATGATACAAGAAATGCATCTCAAGCGATAATATCTTAAGCTTATCCCACTTTTTCTTGATCCAACTGCTGTGATTTTATTTTCATTATGGTTAACTGCATTAATGTCAGTATACAGCTCTTCAAATGACATCCCGCAAGGCATGAGCCTCACAGAAATTGTTCACATATTATATCTTTTGTGTGCTCAAGCTTGTTATTTCAATTGGAGATACTCCATTTGACATGGATTTGGTCCCCACAATGTTAGGAATACAAATGTCTGCACACACATATTCTAGCTTTATAAAACTAGTTTCAAGTCTCTACATAATGAATATGAATGAATGAACTGCACTTGAAGATAATGGCAAAAATAAAAAAAACTTTACTAGTTGTTCAAGGACGCAAATTGGACAAATGCATACAGCCTATAGCAACCATAAAGCAGGTTCACCATCATTTAAAAAGAGTGGAAACTGACTTTTTTTTTTTTTTTAGGAAGAGCACAGAAAGAGATGGAGAAAAGCAGAGAGACGAGACTTAAGGAGAGATATTTCTGAGTGCACATTTTCCATTTTCTGCTTTGCTTTCCTCTGTTCTGTGCTTTTGTACTGAAGAAGCTCTAGGGAAGACTTGTGGATCAAATGAAAGCAGGTTTTACAGACAGACGACAGCTTTTCTGATCATCTCCAAGCTCAAAGCCAGAATCTGCTCCATTCAAACCCCAGTTCAGAACGGCTTTTTAATTCCTGCCGTATTTATTACAATGCAACTTTTAAATTTGAATTAAAATGGAGTGAAATTCAAAGAGATCGCTGTAGGTTTATTTCAGAATGATGCATTGCATTTTCACTGAATTACATAAGAATTTACTAGTTAATATACAAAATAATACTAGTATTTTTTTTTAATAATGTGAACCGCTATTCTAACGTGTAGTTTTTAATATTTAGATTTTGTACATATTGTTCTATTAGTAATCAGGTGTTCTTGTATTTTCATTTGTTTTTTAAATTGTTATCATTTATTAGCTTCATTTTATCATCATTTCAGCCACTTCAATACATCTATAAGTAAAACTATAGATGTAAAAACAGAGTATTTATTTGACAACTGAAATAAAATCCAATTCAGTTAAATGCATTTCTTGCAGCTAAAAATATTTATACACACACACACACACACACACAAAATTCGGTGCAAATGTATGGTGTCAATGTTTTACTAACTATTCTATTTGATTTACCTGTGATTTAAGTCACACAAGAAGCAATTTCACATCTGTCACATCCATAACGGAGAGACGTCACATTCAAAATGACACTTTTAAATATTGTTCACATTAGAAATTAGAATTTAAACTACAATAAAACCAATAATTTTTGTTTTATAGAGAACCAACTTATATCATTTTGATTAGCATTGTTTCTTTTGGGTTGTGCAGTTTAATTCACAGATATATATATATATAAATAAATAAATAAATAAATATATATATATATATATATATATATATATATATATATATATATATATATATATATATATATATATATATATATATATATATATATATATATATATATATATGTGTGTGTGTGTGTGTGTGCGTGTGTTTGTGTGTGTGTGTGTGTGTGTGTGTGTGTGTGTGTTTCATTAAAGGTTGTATTTATGTATATCTATATAATTGTAATATGTAAAAATGTATACAATTGTTAATGGTTTATTTTTTTGTTTACTATAAAAACCTTTCAAATACATTTCTACATCATTTTTAAAACCTTAAAAAAGATTTTAAAAATTACAATTCATTAATAAATGGGTCATTGAAAAAACTCAACAATATAATGAGTTCAGTCATATAATACAGGATTCAACGATATAGTTTACTTGTTAAAATATTTACATACACTTTTTTACAAAATTAGTCTACATTTTCCCTGTAAAAATTAAATAATAATAATAAAAACATTCTAATAAAAATTACTTAACCTTAACTGTTATCATTATATTTCAATGCAGGACGTGACTATGTAATCTGATATAAATTTCCCACAGCTCTGCTTCAAGCACACACAAGCTTTAACAGTGCTACATCTTTATTTTTGCTCTGTCTCTGTGTGTCAGTTTCACCTGAATCCGGCTCAGTCTGTGCTGGTGATGGAGGCTGAGGATCTGGAGCAGATGAACGGCGCGCTGAGGAAAGTTTCCTACATCAACTCTCGGCAGTTTCCTACTATGGGCTCTCGTCACCTCCGCATTTCCACCGCAGTGCAGTAAGATCACACACATTCATAACACATCCGCTCTGAAACGAAGAAAAAACAAAATGCAATGTGATGCCAATCACTTTCATCTGCGATCACCTAGCTCTTCACTTTCATCCGCCAAATTTACCGGAAACTTACATTTAAGGAAATTACTGTAATTTAATATCCGTTATTTTACAGTATAGTTCTGTAATTTAACGGCCATTATTTAACTTTTTTTCTGGCACCCCAGCTGCCAGATTATTACTTTAAACAATGATTGATCTTGGGAGTTTTGGAAACTGATATCCAAAACAGTAATAATAAATTACTACATTATTTGCAGCTAAATTTTTGCTAGACAAGCGCTTCTTTAGTGTCTAGTTCAAATCTCTAACCTCAAGAATGAGCAATACTAACCCTTTTTGTGACCTTTTCTGTACTCATCTAATTTATATTCCACGCTTAGGGAGATATAATATTTATGTAGAGACAGAAAAATGGAGAGGGAATGATGGAGAGAATTGTTTTTTGGGAGCAAAAGCTCAGCCACTGGCGCCCCGTTATTATTCAAAGCAAAGCATGAATATGCATAAGCCCCAGAGGATTATGACCCCGCCCCTATGAGATTTGAGCATATGCAGTGGGCGAAGGTTGTTTTTTATTAATTTTTTGGCAAGAGCAACAGGGAATCCGCATAACACATAAGCACACACAGGATAGGCAATTATATAAGTGTTATATTAACAAGAAAGAAATTGAAATCATGTCTATCTCCTTACTTAGATCCTGCAGATCACAGCCTTATATTAAGACACAGCCATATGTTGGGCTTGACGTGATTAGTAACATGTTAATTTGCCAAATTGATTTACACCATTCATTTACACTTACTTTTTCAAAGGTGATGAGCATAGCACAGCAAACACATAACTCTGTATAACGATTAACACAGATATGCAACCGATATCATAATCGACTATAGAGCATTTTGTGGGACGTAAGCTAAAACTATCGTCCCGACGTATTTCCTGTTTTACATTTTCGATTTCTATAGCTTCTGAGAATCCAAAGAGCCACATATTGATAAATAATGTTATGATAGCTGTTTTAACATGAAGTTATGATTGAAGTGCTTCTTGTTACAGTTACGAAATAGTTTGACAACAAGCAGGAAATGTTATTGGGCTAATAACAAGTTCAACACCACATTGATCTATATTATATCATACACATTGTGTTTAATAAATTTATAATGCCCATTTTCATATTACCTATCTCCAATCTAAAATGAATCAATTAAAATGCTAAATTAAATGATAATTTAGTTTATATGACGGGCAATATGTGATAAAACTTATTGTTATTAGGGTTACACGATGGCTGCGTCCGAAACCGCATACTTCCATACTATATAGTACGCTAAAATCAGTATGCGAGCCGAGTAGTATGTCTGAATTCATAGAATTCGAAAATCAGTAGGCGAGAAGTACCCGGATGACTTACCACTTCCGGTGAGATTCTGAAGTGCGCATCCCATGCACGCTGCGCTATCCCATAATGCCCCGTGAGAGAATTCATGAATGGAAGTGAGGCGACGCAACTGACGCAGGTAGGTCATGTGACCATGACAAAATGGCGGATGTAGTACGTCTGAATTTCATTCATACTTTTCACATTCATACTGTATAGAATGTACTTTTCTAACGGCCGAGTAGTATGTTTAAATTCAAATGCAGTATCTACTGAGTAGTAGGCGGCTTTGGACGCAGCCAATTCAGCACCGATATGGAAATGTGAACTTTCACAACAGTCACATCACAGGATCTGCAATGTTAAGTCTGGATGAAGTTTTATCATTTGCATGCAGTTTTGAGGCCTGAAGATTTTAAAAGCATAAGAAATTTTACCGTTTCTACTTTTTAATATAGATTTTTTTTTATTAAATTGTTTTTTTAATTCAATTACTAAAGCTAAATACTGTCAGACCCGGAAAACGATAAGACACTGTTCCTGTTGCATCTTTTTCGTTATTGGATTTACCTGTGATTTTAATTAGTTTATTAGATTTTATGCTGACGCACAACATCCCAATCAATCTAAAATGATTAATTCTTTGCAAATAGAGATGTTTAAGTCATCTGGTGTTCATATAACAATATATAAATCGCAGTATAACAAAATATCGCAATGTTACATTTTTTCAATATCGTGCAGCCCTAATTATTAATATTATTATTATTATTATTATTATTATTATTATTATTATTATTATTATTATTATTATTATTAATTTTAATAGTAATTATAATTATTGTTGTTTTATTTTGTATTATTTTTATTTATTTATTTTTCATGCATTTATTTTTCATTATTTAATACTGTAATGAATAAAAATAAATAAATTAATTACAAAATTGTCCAAAATAATATTAAATAAGAAAAATTCAAATTAAATGATCAAATTTGTTCATTTTTAAAGCAAAACATAGAACCATGTGTCACACTTAATGATACATTTGAGGCTCATGAAATCACCTTAAAGGTAGAGGAATGCTGCACATCATCTGGCACTTTCACTGACTACGTTTACATGAACAGCAATACTCCAGTTATAATGTTAAGACAACACTGTAAAATAATTAGTAAAATAACCAATGTTAAACTACAAAAATTTCACTAAACTAAAAATTCTGGTAAATTTCTGTAATTTAACGCCCATTTTTTTCCCGGCACCCCAGCTGCTGGAATAAAAACATAAAATTAGGGATATTTTTACAGTGAATTCTCAGATTATAAGTTTACCATGTAAACTTTTTGCATTTTTGATTACCTTAAAAAGGATCGCAGACACCCGTGTCATGAAATGCATGAAATTAGTTTTTTTTCTTTCCAATCGGCATGCAGTATCAAATTCCATTAAAACAACACTCTTCCACCAGTCCTTACTTCATATTCTCATCCAATACCCGAGTTTGTCACTGGACATGAACAATAACTAATAATAATAAAAATAATAATAATAAATATTCTAGCAATTAATTTGTGTGTTATGAACACATGAACTGATTAAATTGTAAATTTTGTGTAATAAAAGTTTGATTACAGAAAATATTCTAGTCAGTATTGGTAGCATATTACCATCATCGAATGAAATTTTTACAAATTAATGATATTTAATAATTAACAGTTTATTTCTTTGGACTTTTAATGTAATAAAATGCCTGCACCAATAAAATAAATAATGTGTAATGTAATCATTTGTACACATTCAAATAAAGGGTATATACATTATATTTCTGATTAATTGTATTAATATCATTGAAAAAAACTAAACATTTTTTATGACTAAATATAATTGCAAAGATAAATTACGATCTTCATAGTCCTAAAACAAAATAAATTAATCACCCAGTCCTACATGCATAATTTCCAACATTACATGTGCTAAATGTCACATTTACTGTAAAAATATTACATTTTAAACACCAAAAAAAAAAAAATCTAAATATGTTAATGCAATCTAAAATGTAACAAAACAGGATCAACAAAAAGCATGCATAAATATTCAACACTGAACAATAAAGTCTCCCTTAAAGCCATGCTGGAATCTGCTCCTGTACCTAAACAGATGTGAGGCAAACATCCAGGTTTACTGAACGCCAGAATCCCATCCTTCATTATTCAACTCAACTGCCGTTTCATCAGGGAAAATCCATGCAAGCGTTCGGATTACAATTAACATTCAAATAGAGCTAAAGACACCATACAGCACGTTTGTTTGGTCATGATTCAGTAGCCACCGATTCTGAAACAGTAAGTCACATCACACTGTGGCTTAAAGACCTATCATGCCCCTTTTTACAAGATGTAAAAAAAGTCTGGTGTCCCTAGAGTGTTTTTGTGTAGTATTTTGAGCTGAAACTTCACACAATGTTTTATAACTCTTTGAAACGGACCCTTTTAGGCTTTGATCCTAATTGTGCCATTTTATGACTGTTGCTTCAAATGCAAATTAGCTTTTCAAAAAAAGGCGGAGCTACAAATGTCTGTGTCAGCATAGGCTGCATTTACACTGCATGGTTCAAGTGACCCAATTCCAATTTTTTTTTTTTTACCCATGTGGCATAGATCGGATGTGGCCAATGTAAATATAGGAGAAAGAAAGAAAGAAAGAAAGAAAGAAAGAAAGAAAGAAAGAAAGACAGCAAAAGGAGCAATAAAAAGAAAGAAAGGAGCAAAATGAGCAAATGAAAGAAAGAAAGAAAGAAAGAAAGAAAGAAAGAAAGAAAGAAAGAAAGAAAGAAAGAAAGAAAGAAAGAAAGAAAGAAAGAAAGAAAAAGAAAGAACGAAAGAAAGACAGCAAAATGAGCAATAAAAAGAAAGAAAAAAAGAAAGGAGTAAAATTAACAAAAGAAAGAAAGCAAGCAAAATGAGCCAAAGAAAGAAAGAAGTCAAAGTAAACGGGAATCGTTGATGCTGATACCCCTGTGTGAATGGGTCGTCAAAGTAAACGGGAATCGTTGACGCTGATGCCCCTGTGTGAATGGGGCGTAAGGCAGAACAAATGACACTCGAGTTGAAAAACTATGAACTTCAGCAGACATTCGCGCGCGAATTAACCAATCAATAGCTTTCTCTTGTAGGGATTATGACATAGCGTTTGTTGTTGGTGTCCTGAGGGGACATCCTGTTGCTGACATCAGACCACAGTTCATCAAACTGGGCTCGTCTCAGTCAAAAAGACCACTGAAAGCTTCCATCATCCAGGTATAGTTTCTGGAGGTGTTGATGAAATCTCAGAGCTGGTGCACCCCTGAAAAGATCTAGTGGACTCAGACACGGCTCCAAAAGAATCGATGCTGTTTTTCAGCCTTCATAAAGCCTGTTTCACACAGTAATACCAGTAAATATCCGGAAAATTTCTGGAATGACTTTACCGGTAAATTAAAAAAAGCGCTGTTCACACAGGCGAGGATGTAATGAAATTTTTTTCGAAAAAGACCATTCACACATCCATTACAAAA